GTGCTCACCCAGCCACCTTGGAGGTGGTGTAAATAATCTGGACAGTTCACCTTGTCAAAAAATATATGAAGAACTCTTGACTCCCATGGCTTCAGAAAAGATTTATTGTTTTTATTAAATAAGTCATTGTACTTATGTATTCATGTTGTTTACGTAATACACTTATGCACAAGTTATTCAAAAAAATAATTTTTAATAACTAATTTATAATTCATAAGTTTCTTGAGAGACTCACGATCATTATACTTATAATAATAATTATAATTAGCACTCCATTCAACCCAATCCCCGACATCTTAGTTTGACAAGTCAATTCAGAAACCAAAGCCTTCAACTCTGTTTACATTCCACGAATTAGCTTACCAAATGGTTTCGTTTGCGAATTTGGCGAAGAAATAGCGAAACCACATTCACTCCGTTTACTATCGACAGAGATAATGAAACCACCAACCATGAGAGAATGAGTAGAACGTCAGATCTGCTCATTCCTGCAACCAGATTGGAAAGATCGCAGAGCACTACTCTGAGAAGCCCAATCGATGGAACAGTTGAGAGAGTGAGAACTAACCAGTGAACATCGCCCTAAGGACAAGATTAGCCAGCGAGAACTCGGCCTGAGATACCAAGTATTAAGCCCAAGCGAATAAAATCGGCCCGTGAGTACATGAGATAAGCCAGCGAGAACACTTGCTAGAGATACCAGAGATTTAAGCCAGCGAGAACACGGCCCTGAGATACCAGAGATTTAAGCCAGCGAGAACACCGGCCCTGAGATATCAGGATTTAAGCCAGCGAAACACGGCCCTGAGATAACAGAGATTTAAGCCAGGAAACACGGCCCTGAGATACAGAGATTTAAGCCAGCGAAGAACACCGTCCCTGAGATACAGAGATTTAAGCCAGCGAGAACACCGGCACTGAGATAACAGAGATTTAAGCCAGCGAGAACACCCGGCCCTGAGATAACAGAGATTTAAGCCAGCGAGAACACCGGCCCTGAGATAACAGAGATTTAAGCCAGCGAGAACACCGGCCCTGAGATAACAGAGATTTAAGCCAGCGAGAACACCGGCACTGAGATAACAGAGATTTAAGCCAGCGAGAACATCGGCCCTGAGATACCAGAGATTTAAGCCAGCGAGAACACCGGCCCTGAGATAACAGAGATTTAAGCCAGCGAGAACATCGGCCCTGAGATACCAGAGATTTAAGCCAGCGAAAACATCGGCCCTGAGATACCAGAGATTTAAGCCAGCAAGAACACCTGCCCTGAGATACCAGAGATTTAAGCCAGGGAGAACATCGGCCCTGAGATACCAGAGATTTAAGCCAGCGAGAACACCGGCCCTGAGATACCAGAGATTTAAGCCAGCGAGAACACCGGCCCTGAGATAACAGAGATTTAAGCCAGCGAGAACACCGGCCCTGAGATAACAGAGATTTAAGCCAGCGAGAACACCGGCACTGAGATAACAGAGATTTAAGCCAGCGAGAACACGGCCCTGAGATACAGAGATTTAAGCCAGCGAGAACACCGGCCCTGAGATAACAGAGATTTAAGCCAGCGAGAACACCGGCCCTGAGATACCAGAGATTTAAGCCAGCGAGAACATCGTCCCTGAGATACCAGAGATTTAAGCCAGTGAGAACATCGGCCCTGAGATACCAGAGATTTAAGCCAGCGAGAACACCTGCCCTGAGATACCAGAGATTTAAGCCAGCGAGAACACCGGCCCTGAAATAACAGAGATTTAAGCCAGCGAGAACATCGGCCCTGAGGTACCAGAGATTTAAGCCAGCGAGAACACCGGCCCTGAGATACCAGAGATTTAAGCCAGCGAGAACACCGGCCCTGAGATAACAGAGATTTAAGCCAGCGAGAACATCGGCCCTGAGATAACAGATTTAAGCCAGCGAGAACACCGGCCCTGAGATAACAGAGATTTAAGCCAGCGAGAACACCGGCCCTGAGATACCAGAGATTTAAGCCAGCGAGAACATCGGCCCTGAGATACCAAAGATTTAAGCCAGCGAGAACACGGCCCTGAGATACCAGAGATTTAAGCCAGCGAGAATACCGGCCCTGAGATAACAGAGATTTATCCTAACTCCTGAGCCAGCATCTCTGCTTCTCCCTACGAGCTCTTGTGTGAGTGGAGAGGCAGTTGACGATGACTCGTATCATCATGAAGACACTACTTGTACCGAAGATGTGTTGTGTCGCAGTGGCTACCAGGGCCGTTTCTAACGAGACGGATTGGTATCAACTAGCTGTTACTGCCACGCAGTGCTGGCTGATGCACGAAGGATCGTCCGTTTTTGATGCCCCTATGCTGATGGACACAGGGCCGCCTTGCCCGTCCGCCCCCTATTAGGGACGATGAAAATAACGTTACCCCTGCACTCTTTGTACATATATATCCTTTACAATCTACACTCCTTGAGAAGCCAGTGACGGATTACCATCTGGCAAAGGTATTTGTCAGGATTTCGTTCCTGA